TTTAACTAAGGGGTTTCAGCTATGGCTTGGGTCACAACAGCAGGTATGGGTGGTAGTGATGCACCGACTAATTACTTTGTTTTGACTTAAGTTTTCAGTTGCATGGTTATTGATCCAGCCTACCGAGATGTGCTTTATGGAGACTCCGGTATTATATCCTGTGGATTCCACAAGAGGCAGATCTATATCCTGATTTCCAAAGTCAATGTCAACAATGTTCTCTGCTTCTTGAATGGCAGTAAAGCCTGGAGAAGACACAGCTGCAGCAGTGAATTCTTTTTTGTTTAATTTGGATAATGCTGCTGCTTTAAGCTTGCTATTGAGTGAAAATATCTGAAGTTGTATGTCTAGTCTTTGTAGTTTTAATCTGATTTTATTTTTATTTATTTATTTATTTATTTATTTATATATGCAGTGGCTCTAAATTGCTAGCTGCTTGTCTTTTAAGTAGATTGTGTGAATTAAGTCACCCTTGAGCGATATTTGTATGTGCTGGTTAGCTGTACAGGTGGGCATGATTCAGAATAAGCAGTTGAGACACAGTATATTATAATGAGACAAGTTTTAGGTGTTGTGCAATTGTATTGCATTAGGGTGGTTCCTCATTAGGGTTACTTCAGGCAGGTACTGTCACATGTAGTGGCTGAGATTTGGGACTAAAATCTAATCTTCTGTTACTGAATTGATCTGTGATCTTAACCTTTCTTTGTACCTCCTCTGGTTTAAGATATCTCTCTCAGAATGATCAGGATAAAGTAATATTGAAGTATTTTAAATTCCTTCAGTGACAAGTAGATGTCAGATGCAAAACTGTGTTTATAGTCCCATACAACTAATCTTAAGAGAGCCTTTTAAAGTGCCTGAATGCTTTTAGTTTGCATCATGCACCTGTAAACACCTGATAAAATGGCGCACTTGGCAATGTGGCAATCAGCTGTATGTGTGTGTGTTTTTGGAGGGAGGAGGAAACTGATTCCCAGCAGTTCTGTATTATAGTCCTCAAAAGATCCCTAATGCATGCTTGGGATTTCAGGTAACTAAAGCTGAAAGTTTGTAAGAATTTAGTGAAACATTTTTGGAGCTGGGGACTTCTCAGAGAAACCCTGACTGATACTGTGCTGGAGCCATCTTGCTTGTAGGCACGTTTTTTTTTTTTTCTCTCTCCGTTGAAGTCCTGTGACTGAAGCTAACTCATTTGACAAGGACTTCAGATAAATTCTCATCTCCTATGTAATGCCACCATCTATTGGGCAATAGTAATCCAAATTCTTAATTTTCCTCTTTTAAAGATGCTTGATACTTGATTTCCAAGGCAAGTTGCAAATTGGCTATTATGCTGTGTTAACTTTTTTTCTTTTTAGTTACTGTATACATATTTTATAACATACCCATTTTACTGAAAACTGTTCAAGTCAAGTTGGTCAGATCCTGTTGAAACTACAGCTCCTGTTTGTGTAATCTGTGAATCTATCACTAGTTTTAGTTTCTAGTTTTAGGTATAGCTTGGTTTTGTGTTTGAGTTTGCTGATTCCTTTTTCTTCCCTCTTCCATCTACACCTTGCATATTAGTGACTGTCAAATTATAAGTAACATATTAAAGTTGTTCCTTTTTTCATGACAATTATTCTTAATATATCCTGAGCACTTTTATTTTTAAAAATCCACCTGTAGTTTAAATGATTAATGAAATAGGCTAATTGAATAAAAAAACAGATGATCTTTTTGCAAATTCTTAGCCTTACACTCTTGGACATCCTAAAATATTATGCTGGACAAATGCAACATCTGCCTGGAAAATACTGTACATTAATTCAAGTCTGTAATTTCCCTTCCTTGCCCCCCCTTCCTCCCCCCCCATCCTTGGTTACTTTAAAACTAGTATAAGATAGCACAAGAGAGAAGGAAGAGGAGAATGGTTTCCATACTTACTGTCTCTCTCAAACTTGTTTTTAGCATCCAAGTAAGTTGTTGCCTACAAATTTTAATGTCTCTCTGGACCAGTAAATCTCTAAGACCTCTTTACACATTACATTAATCATGGCATAAATGGACAGGGTACTACACGCGTACCCAATTTAAGGTGCCGTAGTGTAGGAAACTGGCCATAAAAATGATACATGTAGATTGTTGAACACTTGTGGCTGGTTTTTTTTGGTGCTGTAAAATTTTAAGTTGTGGCCAGGGCCAGCAATCGGCTTGAAAATTGGAGCAGAAGGAACCTGGGATTACAGATTCCTCAGCTTCCCCTGTGTTGGCAAGTGATAATTGCATGATTGGGATCTGATTGCCTGATCCCAGCAGTTGTACCATGTGGCATGCCAGGAGGTACAGTTGTTGTGAATGGGGATCAGATCCTATTGCACAATTAATTGCATGTGTGCCAGTGTCCTAAGGTGCCATCCTATTCTACTTTCTGCCTGACTTCAGGCTAATATGGCTAAGCACCTCTGTAGAAATTACCTTTGAAACCAGCATTCCTTAAATACAAAAATGTAGTCATCTTAATTGTTTCTGCAACTCTTATATTGTTGAGGTAAGTGCTGCCTGGCAAATAAAAATTGAAATTTTTGTAATCTTGTAAATTTATCTTACACTTGCAATAAAAGCAAATACCTCTTGTCTTGAATATTGGTCCACAGCATAAGGCAGGTAAACTTTTGCCAAGGATTTTTATAGTACTTGCATTGTAGACGAAGTCTGATTTACGGGAGTAAATCTGTCAGGAACACTTGCAACTTTGCTAACACACCCTACTGTTTTAGTTATTTCTGTTAAATTTTAAGCTGTTCTTGAGTCCTGAGGAAGGATACAGTAGTATCCAAAAGCTCTGGTGTCCTTTCCAACTGTATAGTTGGTTCAATGAGATATACCCACAAAAAATCCTGGTCTCTCTTGGTTTTTCTTGAACTGTCACAGTTCACTTCAACACTACTGCAAGCTGCCCTTGAATTCTTACAGTGCTGCCAATCCAGAAGGTTCATGCTAAAACTTTTTCTTTACTATTTATTTCTTATGTATCTTGAAATTGCTGTGAATTGTAATTCATGGAAGGGTATGCATTCAAATTATTAGAAAGGAACAATGTGGATAGTAGTGAGTGTGCGGTCCAGGAGCAGTCCGGGCCCTTTTCGCGCTGCGCGGGCTGTGGCCAGCAGCCAGGGCACGCTGGGTCAGAGAGAACCGGCGACACGCTGGAATTAGGCACGGACGCGTAATGGTTGATTCAAGATTGTTTACTTACACCGAAGATGGTCGCAGTGTAGGATGGACAGTTTCCCAGGCACAGCTCAGCGTAAATCCTCGTTTGAGGACTCAGACAACACTCGGATCACTCCCACGGAGTTGTCGAGGCTCCATGGATCCTTTTGCGCGCAGGGAGAGGGATACGTCGAGGATTGCGATCGGTGATGGGGAGAGGCTAGAGGCTGATCAGACCCCTGTTGCCTGCTTGAAATGCACTGGGTCCAATAGGCTCCGCAGCGCTTAGATCTTTGCACAGCGTGAAGTCTCCTCCTCCTGGTGTTCGTGGAGTCCTCCAACTTGGGCGGAAACCACTCAAGCCTTTTATATGGCTAGCAAGCCAATCACTAGCCGCCACGTGTGAATAATTTCACGCAAGCCAATAATGGGGCTCGAATTAGAATACGAATGGCGGGAACTCTTTGCAACGAGCACCTCTGTGCTGCAACAAAGAAATGCACCCTGCAAAGAAAGCTACAAATTGGCGGGAATTCTTTTACACCGGGGGTTTCCTCTGCAGCAGAAAACTCCACCGTGCAAAGAAGCTGCAATTTAGCAGGAACATAATTCAGTGGTGCCAAAGCACACACAAAACAAAAATCACACCTTTGGGTTGTGACAGTGAGTATAGACCATACCCTATTAGTGTCAGAATTCAAAGATCCAAGACTTTTTTTTACTTGCAATCACAGTGGGGAAAAATGTGCTCTGGAGCTGGTAATGAATACTTTTCTGTAATGCTATCAGGATGCCTAGTTGAAAATAGCCCCTTTTCTAGAGCTGTAATATCTTTAAACTGGAAATAGAAAAGGTATAACACAATATAGGATACTTCTGCACTCTAGTTACAACTATACAATATTCTGCTAAGCTTAATTCACAAGCCACTATCTATTGGTCATTTACTGCCCTTAGAATGTATTTGTTCCAGTTTCTGAATGTTGTTATAGTGGTTATATCAAGTCTGAGGGTTAAGGTTCTTCCTGAAGCTGGAAAGTACTTCAAAGTTATAAATAGGCTAAGACTTAATTATTTTGAGTAGGAAGCTTAGGTATGGAAACTGAAGAGTTCTTTTCTTGCTGTAAGCTGGTAGCATCTTATTAGGCTGAAAAAGTATATAGAAAAATAAATATGCTTAATAAACCTGCTCTTGGTGTGTGTTTAGTCACATGGGGAAAACCTCTAAAAAGTCCTTGAACCTATAGGTGAGAATTCCTTACTTAACAAACTTGTAAAATGCTGTCTACATACCAAATAAAGTGATAATGTATAAATAAATAGGGCCAACTATATTATGCCTTTTCTCTTGGAGTGCTCTGTACTGTTGGCAAGCTTTGTAGCTTCAACCAAAGTACTCAATTAGTGGTAAGATTAAGGCAAGAAAACTCCCAGAAGGCCAACAGAGATTCACATGACCTTCTAAAGGTTGTTTATTGCTGTTTTCAGGGTTGAATAAGTTTAGGGACCTTGGAAAGATTTATGGAGTTACTAAGCATAATAGTACATCAAAAAGCCAAGTCCCCAACCCAGTGTCTACTGGCAATCAAGACTGTTCCCTCCTAGCTTCTAAAATTCATACAGCTTAGGTCTCAGCTTAATGAGTGCTTGTCTATAGGCAAAAAGCTAATTTAAATCCAGTATCAGCAAACTACTACACACTGTTCCCTCTTTCTTTTTTTTCTTTGTGCTTCCAAGCATGCAGATAGGCTGTGCCAGGTCTATTGAAAACTCAATTGCTAAATATTTGCTTTTCTTTTTAGGTCGGGTTGATGTTGACCATGTGATAACAAGGAAAATGCAGCTGATAGCAGAAGCTGAGGTAAAAGTGTGTGCGCGCACATAGAAAAAGATCTATGTATATACATCTTTTTCTGTGTGGATGATCCAAATTCTTGAGGGGACTTCCTGGAAAAACCTGAAATGCCCTTATTCTAAATCTGCCTAGAGTGTAATATGGACATTGCCTTTTCTGACATTGGCAAGAGGAGTAGTTTTATGCAAAATCACTTACAAATGTAAATGTGTATTTGTACGTGGTAGGTGCTTCTACTCGCAAGTCCCTTTTGATGAGTAGAAGCAGCTTCTGTGGACAGCCATCTACTTTAAACTACTGTTTCTTTTTTAAGTGTTCAAGTAAATTGTTAATTTTGTCAAGGTTGCTGTACGTAAAAAAACCAAACAAAACACAACAACAACAAAAAACAAAACAAAAAAAAAATGTAATACTAAATGCTTCAGTTCTGCCTTTGACAAGAGCTTGAAGTGGAGAGCAGAAGACTCGCTGCCTTTTTTTATTTAACTGCATAGTCTTTCAACCTGATTATTCCACCCTTCCCCCTGTTCCTTGTCATCCTATTTTTTGCTCATATGTGGATTTAAAAAAATTAAATACTGGAATCTTGTGGTCATTGATCTGACTCTTCCCTCCCTTCCACTTTTTTTTTTTTTTTGTATTATAAGGTATTAGTATGTAGAAATTACACACAATAGACGTGGTATGTTTTTAAGTGACCTGAAAACATAAGTTTCCTATTTTTGCACTTTAAGACTTGCAAGGAAGACTTAAGTTATTTTTCTGGTTCTATCTCTCTTCTCCATGGATCACTGGAGAACTAGTAGGATTATAGTAAATAGGGTTCAAACCTGGTCTACTCTGCTATCCATGATCTTGGGCATGTGGAGTTTGGTTGGAAGAGAACTTTTTGTGGAAGACCCAGATAAGATTGCCCTTGCAACTGAGTAGACAGAACTATATTTCCACTTGTTTGCTGCTTCAGGGTCTTCTAGGGTCTCAAGTCTTAATCCCTGTTTTTCCCTAAAGTAAAAAAAGTATAAAACTTTTTTTAGCCTTTCTTTGTATCTCAAAGAAGTGGCAAAATATGATCTCACTTGTTATTCAGCCCATTACTTGAGTTTCTTTCCTAGAAACCATATGCTAGTGTCTCTGGAAGACCTTGTACCTTTCCAAAAGTGTCAGTTAAGAACACTACAATATAGGTTCCTATAATGAGCCTTGCAAAGGGAGAATAAAGAAATGTTAGTTTTACTGGTTTGTTGGTCAGTGGGAAGAGGTGATTATTTGATTTCTAGAAATCTGGAAATCCAAATGCTTGAGTTCCCTGGAAGAAGCCACTTGGGGGTAGGGTGTCTTCCTTTTGACTCCTGTTCTGAAATTTGCTACCTAAAATGTCTCCTTCCCATGCTACAGAAACTTAACACCTGGAAGCATTTTTTTTTCTAAAAAGACTCCAGGGACAAGAGTTGTGTGTCCTTTGTAGGTTAGCTTTTGCCATCTTTCTTCCTTCTAGCTAGTTTATTGGGGACCAACTTAAACTCCAAGTAACTGCTCCCCCAAGTCATGTTGGGCTTGATTCTCAATTGGTGTAAATCTCAATGCAGGTCCTCCAGAACTGAGTCTGATAACTTGGCCACAAGTATTTTTGCAATTTTTCAGCCAATGAGGTTTTTAATCGGGAAGAATTAATTTTTTGAATGACTCTCAAGTCTTCCTGTGCCCTAGCCTTATGCTGTTGCTTAAGGCTTGGGATCTATATTGCATATATACATATTTGTGGGGGGAGGGGGAAATGTTCACTGCTTCTAATAAATTATTTTTGCTCAAAAGTATTAGATTCACAGCTTGATAGCAAAGTGTTCTTTGCCACAAAAAAAAAAGTTATGTCAGACAACAGATCAGGTTCCTTGAAACTTGTCCTTAGCCATCACCCTTGAATACACTGTGAAAGGGGACTTATTCAAGTGACTTTTATTTTTAGCCTGGCATGTTAGAGTAACTATAGGTGAAAAATTAAGCGTCTGATATGCAAGCAGCACTCATCTTTCCACACGTTCAAATTTTTTTCTTCTTCTTTTAACTTGGATTGCTAAATTTAGAGTTAAGTTACACCAGAGAACTCATTTTGTAAACCTTGCTTCATACCACAGGATCTGAAATTCTGCAAGATGTTGAGTCCTCACTATTTATTGATTTCAAAGAGAGAACTCTCTTGTAGTGGAGTGCAGCATATGTGGGGTGGGAAAATGCTTCCATTATTGCTACATCATTTTCCTAAATGTTATTTAGCTAAGCTGATAAAGGTACCTTTTTTGCTGGCATACGTCTTGAGGCTGGGGTGGGGTGGGGCATTGCCAGCGTAGTTATATTGGTAAGGGGAGGGGCAGTTATGGTTATTCTTTAAATTTATTTATTTTTAAATACACCTTGTCACTAACTATGCAGTGTAGAGCAAGTCCTAGTGCCCAGTAATTTTAGCCCTATTTATTTTGTGTTGCTTTAAAATATTACACTCTGTACATCTTATCTCAACCATGAAAACAAAAAAAAAAAAGTCTCCAACCTTTTATAATAATGGAAGCATCAGAGGGGTGAATTTATCTGTTCCTCTTTCCTTCGTTCATGTGAGCGAGTGTGTACACAATGGGATATAGGTTGTAGCCATATTGGTCTAGGACATGGGCAGAGAAGGTTCCTTGGATAAATCCGGTATCTTTTATTAGACCACCTCAGATAGTTGGAAAAATTCTTCTTTGCAAGCTATCAGGTACAAATACCCTTTGTTAGGCTGAGGAACCGCCTGCAGTTGGTCTGTGCTCTTCCTGGATAGAGTAGTAAAGAAGCCAGAGGCCAGTATGCATGGGAGAAAGCCAGTTAGTGAAAATGTAAATTGAGGTAGTCCAGTTAATGGGTGAGTGAGTTGGGGGAAAAGGGGAATGAATATAGCTGGTAAATAGTAGAGAGGTTACTTAGGGAGTCGGGTGTTAGGCAGGTTACGATGTCAACTCATACACACTTACATTCAAAAAGCTTCTATGGCTAAAATTAATTGTGGAATAAAAAACAGTTCTTATAGTAACATAGGGTAGACAACATCAGCAATCCAATACATCTGTTTTGCAACGTTTAAACTTTTTTTTTTTTTTTTTTTTAACGTAGCAATTCAGGATTTTATTTTCAGGTGTTTCCTTTAATTCATCTTGCTACTACATTTTATAAATGAAGTACTCCCCTTCCCCCCTCCCCCCCCATTTTTTTTTCTTCTTCACCTTTCTCTAAATGTTTTGGACTTTTTTTTAATGTTTATTCTCTTCTGCATTGTTTTAGTTAAGGGTACATCTGGCATTAAGTGTGAACAAGCTTGATAAAAGCTCCTCGGCTTATCAAGGTTTGCTTTTTAGTTGTTGTCATGAAGTATGGCGTATTGCCACTTTTTTTTTTCTGGCAGAAAGGGGAATGCTGGCTACTTAAATGGTGATGCCACATGAAAATGCATCTGCGGTGTTTAATATGCTGTTCTTTCTCTTTTTCAGCAGTTAAAGCCAGCTTTCATGAAGGAGGTGGACAGTCACTTCACAGAGTTTGTGGACAGTTTGATTGAGAAGTCTGTGATCCTGGAATCTTCCACACCAGCATCCACTTTTTCAACTGCCAGTTCAGAGAAAGACCTGAACAAAAACAGGTAAGGGGGGCGGGACGTGTCTAGGCTGATCCTTGGAGTAGGTAAAGATTTTTTTTCTGAAGCCTTTGTGTTTACCTTCTTACCTGGACTGGTCTCTTCTTTCTTCACAGGGGCTTGAGAGCGCCTCCAGAACATGGGAAGATTTTCACTGCCAGACGGTCACTTTTGGAGTGAGTGTGTTAACTAATTGGGTTTGTTCTTGCAATGTACTTAAGTGCCATGATTTTTGTGTTTTGTTTTGTTTTATTTAAGGTTTTTTTTTTTCCTCTTTTGTATTAAAGTTGTTTCCTGCTACTTGCTATTTCAGTGCTGTAACTTAGTGTACTTTGCTTTGTTATACCTAGTCCCAGCACTACCTAGTTTTAGATTTTCAGTTCTTCAGCGTAGCAGCCATCTGCCAAATATTATATCATGCAGTACTTAGCACAATTGGAATATATATTGGCCACCCTTGGGCAATAACATAACAAGCTGCTGCAAAAGTCTTTGGAAGTTTTCTAAGTAAATGGGTGTGTTTATACCATCTTTGGAGCTTTCTCCAGGTAAAAGTTACACTTTTTTTTCTTCCTCCTGGAGTTTCATAGTCATGTTGCCTTTCTTGCTTTCCCTTGGAGCTCTGTAAACTTACTATCTTCGTTGTCCACTTCTACCTGAGATAATTGTTGGTGATGCTAGGTATTCCTGTAGTATCATCGGGATTCCAACAGGCTATGGGAGGTGACAGCCCTCCAAATCTGCCAATCTTATGAAATCCTGGTTTTGGGTGAATTTCTATTAACTGACCAGTCTTGCTTGTCAACTACTCTAGTCTCCTCTAGATTCTCATGCATTTTTTTGTAAAGGTTTTTTTTTGGGGGGGGGGTATTCTTTTGTACTTCTCCAAACCAGTTAAAGGCAGTGGTTGTCAGTGTTGGACTTTAGGCACCCCTTTTAAAAATACTATCTCTTAGCTTTCAGTACTCATGGTAGAGATGATACCTTTTATTAGGCCAACAAGATTTTTTGCAAAAAAGTTTCTTCAATCACAAGCTTTTGGGCACACATACCCTTCATCAGGCATTGGAGAAAAGATTGTAAAAGCTCTCCCAGGTAGAAATGAAAGTTCATGTTTCATAGGATTTCACAGAGGAGTCAGTAGATGGAGAACTGCTTTGGGCAGTTGGTTCATAACTGGTATGGAGTCGTTTGCCTCTTGTGAGGTTCTGTGATTATGCAGATTACGTTGAAACAAAGGCAGCAGCAGTGTCTCAGGTGGTCACAGTTGCTTCCTGCTTGGGAAAATGTGAAGATTTCATTTTAAAAACGGGCTAAAATTCAATACCTTCCATGTGTCAGCTCTTAGCTTTAACTTTTTTTTTTGACTATTGAAAAAGCTGCTTTTTTTTTTTTTTTTTTTTTTTCTTATGTTGCAAAGAACTTGGACCACAGCTTTTCAGTGTGGTTTTTGACACTGTGGACTCCTCTTTGAAATCTCTGGGTACACTTTGTGAATCAAGTTTGCACACCTTTTATAGTGCTAACATTGTGTGGCACCTCATGGCACACTGTTGGATGGTACCCTGGTTGAGAATCATTTCTCTAAGGTGCCACTCTGCCCTACCTTTTTTGCCTGACGCAGCTAGCCCCCTGTCTATCCATGTGAAAATAAGGATGATGGATTATTTGCTTTGCTTGCAGAGCACTTCATTTTTTCACCTGGAAACTGCTATGTAAAGAACCAAGCATCTTTCTTCATAAACATCACTAAACCTTTCAACCAACACCACTATGAGAGAGTTGTGTATCCTGTCCTATCCTGTTCCCCCCCAGTGGAAAAAATAATTATCCTAGGCACAGGGAAAGGTGCCGGGACTATACAATTCAGGTTTCTTTCATCTCTTGCTCCTATGACTGGTTGAGCTATGATGGAAAGCACTTAAAAGTAGAAAAAATATATAAATGCTTGCTTATATATAGAGTTCACTGTCTGAACTTCTTCCCTTTAGTGAACTGTTTGAACTGAGCCACATCAGGACAATCTACCACATGTTCATTGCTCTCCTCATTATCTTCATTCTGAGCACGGTTGTAGTAGACTTTATTGATGAAGGAAGGTAAGAATGTATAAGTAAAAGCCTTGTATGTCTTTTTTTTTTTTTTTTTTTTTAAATATAGTGTATGAAGTTGGAAAATCGAGTAACTTCCTCCCTCCCTTAATTCAATTTTTGAGCAGGTAGTAAAACCTTTAAATGGACTTGACACTTAAATTACACAGGATACCCTGTCCAGGAGAGAGAAGGCTATTGCAAATTAAATGGGGATATACTGGAAAACAGAGGTATAGCTCACTAGCTATAGGCTTGTGTATCCCAGAAATACTGCAGCCAGAGTGACTGGGCCAGATTTTGTATGCAATAAATCCAGTTTATAGGCTGACAAATTCCCAGCTGTTTTGAGAGCACTGTTTTGAACAGCTATGAACAAAGTTGAAATCCAAAGCCATAGCTTTTTCTTGGTTGTATTAAATGCAGGAAGATTGTGATTGTTTGTTTGAGTGGGGGGAGAAAGGAAGAGGGGAGGCTTCAGATTCTTTAATGGTTCTGTAACTGTGCTGAATGCACTTCTGAAAGACTGTACTTGTACTAAACAAACTGACTTGCTTCAGGAAAACCTTGGAGTTCCTGGCACAAAACTGGTTGTGACTGGGCTCTGGTGCATGTAGCCAATATTAAATGTACTTGTGACTCAGTCTTCCTCAGAGTTGTTGACTCTTGCTTAAACTGTAACCTTTTTTGCAGGGTATGTCAGAGTACAAACCAGATTACATGTTTATCTCACTGATAAACTGGTCCTATCTGTGTTTTTATACATCCAGGATTAACTCTGACTCCACTTGATGTTGCAATGCTCTCTTAATTTGTGCTTGAATTGGTACATACAGTTCTGTGTGGGCTATAGGTCAACAGACAGGTTTACCATATTCAGTTTCACAAGCAGTGTGAAAGTGGTATGGATGGCAGGGGGAGAATGACCTATACTGAGATTTCTCTTATACATCATTTGCAGAGAACCTGTTTCTGTGTAGTAATATCTGAAATCCTCTTTCTTCTTTCCCAAATAAATCTGGTGGCTTTATTCCTTATGGGTAAATATTTTAAATACACTTGAGTGCAGCCCTTTAATGTTTGAAACTCTGGTGACATCCTTAGAGAAGTGGTGTCCTCTAAAAGAATAATTAAAGCTGAGGAAGCAACCTTGGAAACTGTGTTCCAGTAGATGTCTTGCCCATGTCTTTGGATGACCTTGGGATGACTTGACAGTTGTGGCAACAACGCTCAAGCCTGTGTCTCCAGCTGCTGGAAGTTTTAACAACGAGATAATAAACACCTAATCTTGCTTTCTCATCTCTCTTTTTCAGGCTGGTGTTAGATTTTGATCTCCTGGTCTTTGCTTTTGGCAAGTCTACTGTTGTTGCTTGCACCTGGCCCTGCATGTTTCTTGGCACATTCATTATACCCTATGGCCTTTTCCATCAGTGGGCCCAGGGGTACAGCAATTCCTCTCACCAGGCAGTCCGCTCCTTTTTTTATGGGATGCTTTTCATGCTTTTTCAAGTGATTGGACTTGGGATTGGACCAGTCTATGTTGCAGTGGCATACGCTCTACCTCCAGCCTCTGGGTTCATTGTGATGCTTGAACAGGTAGGTTTGAGTACTGATATTAGACTCTTCTATAGAGGGGCTTCTTTACCGGAGCGGAGGAAAGACTTATTGAAACTAATTTTGCTAAATAATCTTTCTCTTTAAAAAAAAACCACACACCACTTCCCCCTTCTCCCCATATTTATAGAACCTTTTTTAGGTGTAACATAGTAATTGTGTATAACTAGGACCTTATTACCCTTAGGAACTACTTGTTTGGGGTTTGCAAGAATTGTAACATCTATTGTTGAATCAGTATCATTCAGTATCTAATTTAATACAATTGAATCAATTACATTGCATTGCAGTTTGTAGTAACTTCTCATATACCTGTTAGTACCAGATACCATTAGGTGAGCCATATCTACCGTGGACATTTTAAGATGCTTCATCCTGGTTGTGATGCTAATTTAATTTTCCAAACAAGTAATAAGCTGAAACATCTGAAAGGAGCCTGTGCAATTCCTAAGGTTTCAGTCTTGGCTGTTCTTCTGCAGTGTCCTATACCCATCTTACTGCTACACTACTGAAGAGTAAAAATAATATGAACTAGAGGGTCCTAAATTCTTCCTTTTTTGGCTTACCCTCAGCGTATCACTGACTGGCACACATTCTTATTCTTATCAAATTTTACTAACTGAAAATACTGGGCCAGGGTTTTTGCTGGGACAGTGATGTGTTATAAATATCCATTCCAGATTCCCAATCAGTTTATTCCAATAAATACTTTTTATCTTGTTTTTGAGAGAACCGCTCATCAGTTAAGGCATGATAAGGGGTTGTCAGTCACCCAGCATTCTGTTCCCTTACTCTTCCTTGTCTTCCACTTTGGAGGTATTCAGTTAAGACTCATAATTCTGGAGAAAAATATTGCTTGGGTGTATCTTGCATTTATTTATAACAAGTCTAAAGTTCTAAAGCCAGAGACCTAACGGAAGAAGTAGCAATACCCACTGGGTCAGACTGACGGAAGCAATTTCCCCCCTGCCCCACACAGTCCAGGAAGAACCATTCTGCCCCCGCCCCCTCTGCTTCTGGACCAAATGTTTTTGGGAGGGTCTCTACCCTTTATGGGCATCTGTTTAACCACCAAAGTGAAATGGGAATTGCTAAAACTTAGGCTGCATACATACATTCAAATAATCTTGGAGAATTCTCCCAGGTTTGTTCTTCTGGGAGAGCAACTTACCCAGAGCTTTGTGTACAGGTATTCAAATACTGAGGGTCTGAAAAGTGAAGAGCTTCCAGTGCTGTCACTGTAGCAAGGAGGGCATCTTGGCATGCTTTGCAGGCTTCCTTAGTCTCTCTGGCAACAGGTGATAGCTCTGGCTGGCCTAGGCTATCCATAGTCGGCCTGTTTCCCTGCAGCACAATGTGGCGATTGTGAAGGGTGTGTAGAGGCTAGCAAGGATTTGCCTCCCTTGCTAGTTTCTAGCAAGCGATATGTTATTTCCCTGGGAGGGAAGGGAATGCTGGAGGATGATGTTGTCTTTGGAGATGAGCAATGACATGTACAGACATTTACTTTTCCAGGAGAGACTCTCCTGGGAGTGATTTCTTTAACTCTGGCTGTTCCCACGTTATTTTTCTCTTGTAGTGGCCATTTTTACCATAGGGGGCAGCGGGAAGAGCCTGAACTTCTGTACACTCATGTTTTCTCCTGAGAGTACAACAACTTTCCCAGGGGAAACTGAATGTCTGTATGGGGCCTCAGGCTGGCCAACTTGAGTAGAAGTAAGATCCAGTAAATCCACTCGACACTGAGGACGTTGTATAGTGCAGATGAGGTTAAAAGGGCATAGCCTGTGGCAAGCTCTCATAGGTACCATTTTGCACCAATTCCTAGGTGTCCTTTGTGGTAGTAAAAATGAGTTACTCAATGAATAATAGCTTGGATTTCCTGTAAACTACATTTTTAACAGCTGGACTATTGGAAATAATTAATTTTGTTTCTTGAGTCCCAGATTGTGGTACTAGTGTGGCTGCCATTTCCTTGGCATCTGTGATATTGCACCTGTGCTGGTTAGGACACGTCTTCCTATTTTAGAAAATATGGTGAGGAGGAAAATGCTCCTCTTGGTCTCTTTAGCTGAGGTGAAACCTGGTGAGGGGGTGGAGCAGCTTGGAGCTTTTTTAAGGGATAAAGTGAAGAGTCCAACATGCTGCAAGTGTTATCCAAATACACTGGTTCCAGCAGTAGAGAGGTCAAGGAAGTGGAACAGTACAAAATGGGATCTTGGACTGCTGTCTTACAGGTTCGTCTCATCATGAAAGGCCATTCATTTATCAGAGAGAATGTTCCTCGGGTCCTGTCTTCAGTCAAGGAGAAGTCAAGTGAGTAACTTGAGCATAACCTGCTTCCTTCTTTGGTACCCTGCCCCACTTATTTGCCTACAGGTGAGATTTATTCCTATTCGTATGACCAGTTCAGGCCTCCTGTGAACCTCTAGAACTGAGGATCCAAGTAGGGCTTAAATGTGGCTAGAGAAGATAAGTCTGTCTGGCTTTCTGCATAGTGAATTTTACCCCAAGAGCTTGACTTTAAAAATTGGTTTCTCACATAGTAGCCAACATTCTGCCTGAGCTCTTCTAATGCCCTTAGTGCCAGGGGACCTCTCTAACACTAGGACGTTCACAAGAAATGGGCAGAGGGGACTCTGCTCTTTGGATTTAGGCATTAAAGCAACACTTAATAGTAGCAGGCCCTTCAGGGCTGCAAAGAAAAGTCCGCAGGGAATATAAGACTCTATTTTGGTATGGGCTCCATCTCTTACATTTTGGCTCAAGGTGAATGTGGTATCAGTAATACATATTTTTTTCTAAATTACTATGTAGTCATTTCCATTTTAATAAAGATCTATTCTCAGTGGCTTTGGCTATTTCTTAACTGCCCATCCCAAGCAGAATTTCTAACTGTTGGTCTGGGTTGGTTAGTTGGTTTGTTTGTTTTCCTTTGTTCCTTCTGGCATTTGAGGATTCCTACACCCTTAAGCCACTAAAATAATGGTTAAGGAAGAGGCATGGGTCATGTACATAGGAGGTTAATGAGGAAATCCTGGCTTCAGTGGTGAAATGCTTTTTGGCTTTTATTTTTCTCCTACAGGTACTGTACCAGTTCCCCGGATTACTCAGTACCTGTACTTTCTGTTTGCTCCCACCCTCATCTATAGAGACAGCTACCCCAGGTAATGTCAACATCAACTCCTCAATGCAGTAGTCCAAAGAAACTAAACCAGTACTAAAACCCTTTCTGCTGTGAGTTATTCCCACTTTTTATGAGCTACAGAAATTGGGTGAATTTTCTGAAAGGTACATGCAGTCATTGACAAAGCTGGCTTTAGAACTTGGATTATCTTATTCTAGATCCCCATCTTCTTTGTATTAGAATGCTCTCCTTCCTTTAATAAGCCAGTTCCACTGGAAACTTCTGGACTTGTGTCTAGAAGTTAAACTAGAATTTGGATGTTGAATGACTATGGAACTGTGACTGGTACCTTAGCTGATATTTAACTCTACATCAGTATTTTTTTTTTTAACAGGCAGCATGCTTGAGTTTGAGGAGGCAATACACAGGCACTTCTTGGTGTTCTTAAATCAGGAGATCTCAGTCTTTCATGATGCAAACCATGTTTTAGTGACATTATAAGGAGAAATAATTTATTCTGCTCCCAATTGTGCATTTTACATAATAATAACCCAATAACTACAGCAATTTACTTCCTGTATGCAAGAATATGGTATTTACCTGTTGAAAATCAGGAGTCAGGCATGTGAGCTTTCTGCAAATTAATAACTGGTGTTTGAGGAAAGGGGGTAGCTATAAGGGATTTCTGCTGATAGGGGACAGTATAGTCACAGTTATGATTGGACTACTGTCAAGGATCACAGTCATGTTGGACTGCTGCTAAGAAATAGTTTGGGTAAATGTAACCATTCTTTCTTTTTGTAGGACTCCCAGAATAAGATGGAGTTACGTGGCTACCAAGTTTGCACAGGTGAATTTAATACATTGTTTGTCTGATGCCCATCCAGAGAATATCCAGCTAATTTAGGATTTGCATGGCAGTTCTGTCTGCTTGAGGCACTGGTGCATTGCTGAATTCAAAAACTAATGTCCCTGGAAAAAATGTATAACCTGTTCCTGGAAAACAAGGAAATGAATTTCTTGTTGCATTAATAACTGTACAGGTTTCCCTTGTCAACCACGATTTTGCCAGCCATGGTTTTGAGTATCCATGCTTCAGAGAAGGCGTGGTGGGGTACAGTTGAAAAATACCCCCTGCTCCCCCAGCCCTGCCAGTTTTGCGAACCATGGGAACTTTCAGGAATGTAACCCCTGTAAACCTGTACCTGAAAATGTACTTGTACAATATTCTGGGGAGGAGGGGAATGGCAGGGGGGTGCGGGGACGGGTAGCGCAGGAAATCATACCTGTTACATTGCTCAGTGAGTTTGAGTCGATTTTGGTCTGTCTTCCATTTGTCAAAAAAATCATCTCGGGGACTTGCCCCTTCCTTAGCTTGGATTTTTGGCCTGTGACTTCTGCAGGGTGCAGAACTGACCTGAGCCTTGCCTTAATTTCAAACTACACTTTTGTTTTAAAAGTTTGAAAAAGGTTGTTTACCACTTTATCACTCAACTGGATTTCAGTGTTCCAGAGAGAAGTAGAAGTGCTGGGATAGTGTACGTGGGTCGAAATCTCAAGAGCATCTATTTTTTGAAGCTTGAGATGGCCTGGGCCAAAACAAACTTCTTTGGGTGTTTTTTCCAAACTTTGAGCTAGTTCATCACTTTAAGGCAGGGGTGGGCAGTTATTTCGGGCAGAGGGCCGCTTACTGAGTTTTTGCAAGCCATCAAAGGCTGCATGGCAGGTAGCCAGGAGAAGCTAAGTATTAATTTTCTAAAATTTTTAGGGGCCCCGCAGGCCGGATAGAATGGCCTGATGGGTCACATCTGGCCCGTGGACCGCATTTTGCGCACCCCTGCTTTAAGGGCTACCTGGACCATCTCAAAGCAGGTGATTAATGTAATTCACCTGCAAGTGAGGCATAGGAATATAGTAACAGCCACTGGGGTCCTTGAAAACCTAGGATTGAGCAAGTTTTGGATGACTTATACATTTATTTGGATTACAAGTTTCACTGCAAATTCTGTGTGGTGAGAACTAGAGTTCTGACAACTTCACATGGAGTCCTATTCATCTAAAGGCCACTTCCAAAGATACAATGTGAAAGCCACTGTTCTATTGTTGCTGTAGGAGAAAGGGAGGAGTGGGGAAGGTACATGTGCTTTGTCTACAACAAGGAGTACCCTTTTATAGTGAAACTTCAGATGAGTTAATGCAGGGGAGGATTTTGCATCTTGACCTGAATTTACTATTTTTTAAGTGGGAAGTTGCGGTGGGCCTGGCCTGGTTATAAATCATAGGGTCCTCTGCACATGCAAGTTGAGGCACGATGGGATCTGGTGTATGATCCACACAATTGCATCTCCTGCCATGCTACACAAGAAGCAAGGTCTTGTGACTGGGAGTCCCCTCAGCTGCTGTGTTTTTTCCCAGCTGCGGGCGCATACCACACCCCCCACATGGCTGGGAGATCACAGCAGCTGTGGTTTCCTAGTTGTAGGGGTGTGGGGCCCCTTGCAGCTGGGATCCCTGTCTGCTAGGAGTTCCCATACTGGAGGGTGCACGTGCCCCTGCCTCCCTCCTCCTGTGCTGTGATGGGAGATCTGATCAGCTGATGGGCCTCCCCACCACAACAGACCCTGGCCACATGTTCAATTAATGGCATGACAGGAAGCAGGTACAAAGTCATTTCACATTTTGTGGAATAAATTTGTAGCCTATTCCTCTCTTTATTCCACCATTAACTGAGTGAATGTGTGACCAGGGTGACCACTTTAAGGTATGATTTAACTGGTTAATCATGCCTTAAGTATAATATGTAGATAGGGCCTTAGTGTAGAAACAAACATTGCATTTGTGCCACTATTCATTTTTATGGCAGCATAAAGCCACAGCAAATGCATGTCCACATCTCATGTGGCCACACTTGTGGCTGTGACACAGTAATAATAAAATTGTGCTGCTTTATTGTAGCAGATGTCTATTTACTTTTATGACAGGTGAGCATGGGCAGCTGGAGTTGCATGCACTATTCCACCACCCCGGGCAGGTCCTCCCTGAGACTTAAGAGGCCTGGTCCTGCATACTCTGGGAATTTCTGCACCGATTTGGGCCCCAAGAATGGCTGCCCATCTTTCCCTGCTTCCAGAGATGTCTCTGGAAGCTCTGGAGATTGCTGAGGGTGCATCTCTGCAAGCAGGGAACATGTTGCACTGTCCTGCAAGATCAATAGGTGACATTTCACTCAGTGAAGTGGATCAGCTGTGCCAAGACTTGTACCACCACAACTGATCTACTTTCTTTGGCAATGTCTACTTCTAGCCCTTGTGATGGGAGAGAGGTGAAGGGTTTCTCCCTCCTTCCCCCCATATTCACCTAAAATGTAAAAGTTTTATTATAATTTTGTTCTCTGATCCAGACTGAGAGATCACTTGCTTTCTGGCTGTCAACCTAAAACTAACTGGCTTGTAGTTCTTTTATTGTACTAGGGCAGCTGCAAGCAGCTTTATCATTAGGTGGACTTGGAGAAGTTTCTAAGGCTGGTGTGGTGACAGGATTGAGGTGTGGGTTTTGCATTGTTCCTTTCCCTTCTATGGGGCAGTTGTGTTCAAAGATATATTACAGGTGCATTAATTCTTATAGACTGATTTGTTTTTTGTTCCAGGTGCTTGGTTCACTTTTTTACTCCTACTATATCTTTGTGCGACTCTGCATCCCTCAGTTCAGGAACATAAGTCAGGAGCCCTTCAATCTGCGAGCGCTGGTCCTCTGTATCTTCAACTCCATTCTGCCAGGTGAGACAGATGCTCAGAAGGCTATGCAATAGCAAGAGGGATTCCAAGGAGGTGCTAGATTAACTGACTACAGGGATTTGTGGCAGAAGGGTGATCTTCCCCTGTCCCCCTCTCCATGAGAGAGGAAACTGGTCATCCTGGCCAGGTGCAAAAGCAACACTTAGCCAGTACTAACTTGCTGCTCTGTTATATGAGCAAGGAAGTTTTTTCTCAGCATTGTGATAGTACAATGGAGGACAAGAGAAATTTCAGCTTGTTCAGTTTTTACATATTGGCACCTGAATTCCTTGTTCAGGATTGTTGTCCCTTTTGTGGGGGTCAGGTGACATTATGATGGGACAAGAGGAACAAGAGCATTGCTACTGTTCTAAAACCACATTCAGCTGTGATCGGGGCTAGGTGAAAGAATAAGCACAATGTCATGAACAGACCCTGTTTTGTACCCCTAGGTATATTGATGTACTTCCTGATTTTCTTTGCGTTCCTTCACTGCTGGCTTAATGCATTTGCGGAGATGTTGCGCTTTGCAGATCGAATGTTTTACCAGGTAAGAAGCAGGGAACACAGGTGGAGGTGGGTTTTTCTTTCAGTATCTGTAGATGCTGTCTGTTGGCCGAACCAAAATGAATTAGGAGCCAAGATTAAAATTATCTTCCCTCAATGAACTGAAGAACTTCAGAAAATGTTGCCACCCAAATCGCTGTAGCACTAGAAATGTTGTTAATGCTGTTTCTAGGGGGGTTCTTTCCCCTCTGGATCAGGATTGACGAACACGTGGCAGTGTGGGGAACTTCTGGGGTTCCTAATATGTGCGTATCCTGTGGGTAACATCAGCTGCTAGATAGCTTGTCGTGAGCACTCCATTCACTTATAAAATATATATTTTATTCTACCATTGTGGGTCCAGAAAACTCCAGCTATTTCTTTTTTTTAGGTGTACCTTTGATGTGCATGTGCACACACCTGTTCTCTTATGCTTTACCTGTTTCAGGATTGGTGGAATTCCACATCCTATGCAAACTACTACAGAACCTGGAATGTGGTAGTACATGACTGGCTGTATTACTACGCGTACCGGGATATCCTTTGGGTAAGCAGCAAACAGATTTTGTTCCTCATCTTTTATTTTTGAAACAATAAGTAATCTTTCTTAAAATGAGGAGGTAGTTGGCATAAGTAGAGTTAGTGCACATTTTTTGGGAATGGTGATTAAAATGCCATAGCTGTAGTCTCCATTGTCTTAATGACACTATTATGGGGAGGCTTTCTGTAATTGTTTGTTTGTTAGCCAGGTTCTCTGCATATATGCAGAAATTGCCAAGGAGATGGGAGGCAGTGTGAATTGTAGCATAACAATGGCAACTTTTTTTTGAACTTTTTTGAAGCTGTTTGAATTAATGGATATCCACTAGAAGCTCCTCTGTGTCTATGCCTGTTGTCAGAGTTGATAAATGTGAAAATCTTTATTCCTTACTCCCCTTTTTCCCACATTAGTTCAGAAGTCTTGTGTTTTATCAAATACTGCTTCGCTATACATTCAGGGAAGTGAATGACTGAATTATGCATGTGAGCAATTCCATTTGAAATCCACTGGTGCTATTTGTACGCACAGAGTGAAGGACTGAGGCTTAGTCCAATACGTAAATTTGAAAGCTAACAACTGAAATTAATAGTGCTATAAACATAAATGTGTTCTGGTAGGACTAGTTTCTGAGTTTTGGCATACCTTTTGCTTCATAATTCTTGAAATCACAAATGAAATCAAGAGGGAAGTAGGTAGGTGTGTGCCTGGATTTCATTTGTGTCTTCAAGAATTATGAAGAAAATGCCACATTCTGTAGGAATAACATGGCATTTCAAATATAGCACTCCTATATGCACTTAGGGCAGACCCTAAGCAACTCATCAAAATGGTTATATTTGTATAGTAATTACTTGGCCTAAAACTAAAATACAACAAAATGCCTAATTCATAAACTGTGTGCTGAATCCATCTCTTCTCTATTCCCTTGTACCAGTTATTTGGTAAGAAGTTCAAAGCAGCTGCTATGCTGTCTGTTTTTGCTATCTCCGCTGCTGTACATGAGTATGTCCTGGCCGTCTGCTTTGGTTACTTCTATCCAGTCCTCTTCTGCCTTTTCATGTGCTTTGGAAGTAAGTCATTAGGAGAAACTGATTGGGGGAAGTGGGTGGGGTGCAATGTGTGGTGGGTTTGTGTTTTTGTTTTTGTTTTTTTCTTTTAAAAAGAAAAAACCACTACCGTAACTTTTGATAGCATTTAAAAATCACAACTGGGATCAGGAGCTTATTGAGCCAATTTGTCTTAACTTGTGATCCCAGAGATCACAAGTGGAGGTTCAAATCCTGGAAGCACATGCATTTAAGTAGTTCTGTTAGCCAGTTCCTTGGTGTATTTGGACTGGGATTGGGGAAATGAGCAGCAGCACAAGGAAGGGGTCTTAAATGTGTTCCTGTACATATAAAACAATACAAAACAACAAATTTGTAATGAACTTGCCAGACTTCAGGCAGACTGGCACACTTCTGCCCAAGTAGTTAACACTGAGCTTTTAAAGCGATTGTGTAAAGTAGTAGTTGCTTTTTAGGGGTGGGGGAGGAGGGGGTTGTATATGTAACATTCACTGACCCAGTGTAAGCATATTCCCTAAGGTGGAGGCTTTTCCTTCTGTACCACTGTTGTGGAAGCAGGGAAAATGTATATGGTATTTGGGTGAAAAATCACTAATTGGTTTAAGAAGATTGAATCCTGCATCTGTGCAGGGGATTGTATTAGAAGGGAGCTTATAGGCCATCCAGCTTATTCTAGGAGAGAAGGCATGGCAAATGGGATCCATGAAACATGTACACT